TGGGGGGGGGGGGGATTCTGAACCACCACGATTTGAATGGAGGGATCCAATCGTGTCTGTCTGCTCAGACCACTTCAAGCCCAGAAACCAGAGGTATTTTTGGCAAGAAGCACAGGAAGAAAACCTTGGCGTTCTGCCCTTGTCCAGTTAACAGAGAAGGAGTCGGCTGCATCTGAGACTCTGGCTTCTCCAGCTCAAGCTCCCAGCTCAACACATGAAGTTCCAGAACAAAAATTGGGGAGGGAGGGAAACCCACCCTGTTTAAGGCGGCTCAGTGAGTTTCCCAGTCCCTCCTAGAAGCCCACAAAATCTTTTCTCTTTCCAGATGTTTATGGTCTTCTCACGACCTTAGTAGTTTTATGCTGTTTATGTCTCTGGGCTTATTTTAATGGCTCCCTGTTTTTAATACTGATAATTTATTATTTGTAAGTGTTTCAACCCTAGAGCAGAGAAGAAAACATAAAACTACGTCAAAGGACATGGGAGACCTTTCAGACTGGGCATGCTCTAGAAACAGGGGTGCCCAAACTGCAGTTTGGGAGCCGCATGCAGCTCTTTCACACAGTCTAATTTAATGCTAATAAATGCAAATTTGCATATTTTTCAATGAAAATGTGTGTGTGACATTTGTTCATATCTTGTGGCTCTCAAACTTCTGATGGTTATTCTGTGTGGCTGTTACGTTAAGCAAGTTTGGCCACCCCTGCTCTAGAAGCTGTAGAGGTCAGCAAGTCCTGCGTGACAGCAAAGATCCCGTCTCATGCAGGGATAATTAGAAGGATGCCAAGACTGGAGCAATTCATCTAGACAGGCTTCATCTATGCTGACTGGCAAAGGTCTCAGGCAGAGAATTTCCCTGAGATCATCTGAACTGGGGTTGAACTAAGGACTTTCTAAATGCAAAGCGAGCACGCACTATCTCCGTTGGCAGAAAGAGTGAACACTTAATTGCTGTGAAGACACAACGATGCTGCCTGCGTTATAATGACTCGACCAAGGATCTGTCTGCCTCAGTGTCATCTGCTCAGAGCGCCAGCTACTTTTCAAGGGCTCAGACAGAACAGCTGTGCCCAACACCCTCTTGCTGAGATCTTTTTTACTGGAAGGGCTAGGGGCTGAACCTGGGACCTTGCATGCAGAATCCATGGACTACCAACAAATTAGGGCCCTATCAGTGCTAAGGGCCCCCATGGGATTCGAACTGGGAACCAGGGTGATGCAGAACAGCAAGGCGTGTGCCGTGGGACACCGAGGCCGCTCTGACCGCAAGCTCACAGAGATTCAAAGCACATCTCCAGAGCAAAGTGTCCATGCTGACTGTCGCTACTACCGAGCAGAGAAACTATCCTACGATCGCTAAACGCTGGTCTTTGATGAGGACATATTAATTGCCCTCGCTTTTCAATCTGCTGGATAATTACCACTGGGTACAGGAGGTCAGGGATTCTACATGGTGTCCTGTGCGCAGAAAGAATGCCGGGGAAGGGGAAAGGAGGGGGACTCCTCCCTCCTCACCATCTGTGGGTGCGCATAAAAGAGTTCACAGATGCTTCTCTCATACGCTGGATTCCAGCAGGATACCGCAAAACTAGAACGCGATTGACTGGATTGTCACACACTAAAATGCTTTCCCTGGTTTGAACCAAAGCCACGCAGGGTGGCCCAGTTACATGGTACCAGTTACAGGGCGGACTCCTCCCTCCTCACCATCTGTGGGTGCGCATAAAAGAGTTCACAGATGCTTCTCTCATACGCTGGATTCCGGCAGGATACCGCAAAACTAGAACACGATTTACTGGATTGTCACACACTAGGATGCTTTCCCTGGCTTGAACCAAAGCCACGCAGGGTGGACCAGTTACAGGGCCCATATAAATTGTGCCAATGAAACACAACTAGCCAAAAAAACGGGGGGAAGCCAGTGTACAGTACAAGAAGCAAAACAAGAAACACCACTGACTGTGGCATAACATCAAGTATAATGTAAATCATTTGGCCAAGGTGCAATAATGAAACATATAAGAAGCACCATGTATAGTCTTTCCATGTGTCTTCTTCCAGCATAGAAGCAAATATCAATTATCCCATAATCCTCCTTGACTAACCATTCAGGCTTTGTATATGCCAGCTCTTGAGATTGGGGTAAGTTCTCCCTGCAGCTCCTAATTCACTATATATTTATATCTTGTATGTATTCTCACTTGTATATGTTTTGAATTTGAATTTAGTCCCATTACAGCAATGCTTGAATAAGAATTATTCGAAACGTGGCATCAGGCATCCGGATTACGCGTTGATGATATACACTTCAATGATGATATATACTTTAATTTGGACTTTGATAATTGATTTTTGCTTCTATGCTGGAACAAGACACATGGAAAGACTATAGATGGTGCTTCTTATTTGTTTCATTACTGCACCTTGGCCAAATGATTTACATTATACTTGATGTTATGCTTATATGATTATTATATACTTGTTTATTTTCAGTCAATGAAACACACCTGGCAATGGTTGTTTTCCTTTCTGTGCTCTCTTTATTCTGAGGTTTTAAAACATTCACTTGCATAATTTATTCTATCCTTGCTCAGCATGATGGAGGGAAGGGTCAGCAGAAGCACTGAAGGCCCCCACCACCACCACCGGCAATCTTGCTGGGGCTCCTCTCTGGTTTCTACCAGTCTGGTACGATTTTATCTTACCTTTCCCCCCAAGGAGTTCAGAGCAGCTCACAAGGTGTCCCCATCAGTGCTCCCTCTAAGCTGAGTTAGTGTGAGCTAGTTCAGTTTTTTATCCTCCAGCTCACACATTTTTGTCTCCGCTCAGGAAGGATGGCTCCAGAGCAGAGTGATTTAGGCAGTAGCCGAATTGCTCGCTCACAACTTTAATGCCAGTAGCTCACAAAATAGAATTTTGGGTCCCAAGACTCCACGGCTTAGAGGGAGCATGGGTCCCCATCCTCTTTTTATCCTCACAACCACCCTGTGAGGTAGGTTAAGCTGAGAGGGAATAACCAGCCCAAGTCACCCGATATGTCAGAGTGGGGATCCGAACCCGGATCTCCCAGAACCTCGCCGACACTCTTGCCACAATGGCTCTTCAGAGGCAGGCCACCCACAGGGAATACAGACACAGACAGAGACACAGAGACACAGACACACACACACGGCTTTGCAGCCAGAAAGGCTAGAAATGTGACTTTAAAAAAATGACAGCAAAGGTTGCCTGGAAGCTGATCCTCTACAAAGCGGAGGAGTATCAACCATTGCTCCCTCTCAGCTGTGGAGTCTTGTGAGCAAAAATTCTACCTTGTGAACTACTGGCACGAAAGTTGTGAGTGAGCGAGCAATTTGGCTACTGCATAAATTTGTCTGCTCTGGAGCCATCCTGCTCTGGAGCCAACTGAGAG